TTGCAATTTACATATATGCAAAAACGCAAAAAAATGTCGGTGCATGCGCTGCTCCAGTACGCTTCATCGGCCTTAGATTTGATAGACAACTCAAAATGAATTTTCTGTGTACTTTGACATCTAAATGTTGGGTGCCATTGATGCCTTCAAGACTGTAGCGGCATCAAATCGTACTTGGCCTCGCGACAGCACTTCCATACATCCCATTACTTAAAGATTTGCGAAAAATTTTTTTTCAGCTAAGAAGGATGGCCCGGTTATGCTAAAACTGGTGAATGAGGATGAAAAGTTATGGAGCCCAACAGCTGCAGCAGCAACAGCACCAGCAACAGCTTCGACATCGGACGTGGAACTTGTAGCGGTGAAAAAAATTGGTAAGGCAGCTATAGGCGCAACAACTATGACAGCTTCAGTCTCGAAATTTTAAAGATTCATAGTTTTTTTATCGGAGGGGACTGTACACTCTCTTAGACGGATGGCAACAAAATTACCACCCGCAGAAACGATTAATTTACCAATTTCCGTGAGCCAGGAGGATGACGCGAAAGTCCAAAAACCGGCAAACGGAAGTGCAATCTACCATTATGTCTTGGTGTTGATAAGGCCTTTAAAACATAGTACAGGCTGTGTCCGCTATTTCATTCACTTCAGCATAGCGCTTGAGACGCTTCTCCAGTATCATAAGTTGCTTCAAATTCTGCATTTCAGTTACATTTTTGATAAAAATTTTCGCTTTTCTGATTAGCATTCCTTCACGACACACTGTAGCCATAAATCCTGAAAAGTTTGGAAATCCGAAAATGCTGAAGCAACGCAACACTTACCATAATTCTTTTTTTCGGATAATTTCTAAAATAAATAAAAAATTAATATTGTTCTCAGCTGCCGAAGACAGTGAAAATGAAAAGGACGACATCGATATGGATGAATTACCAGTCGAAAATCCCAGAAAAAAAGGGCACGAATCCGCAACGAATGAAGCTCTCCAATCCGAACAATCAAAACTCCAAGCAGCAGAAATAGTGAGCAGCGAAAAGACGCTGAGTTTACCGCTTGAAGTCAAGCCTGTGAGCCAAGTGGACTGCATTCAGACATATAGAAATGTCCGAGGAATGTGTAATCCACCGCTAACAGCACAGTTGTATCGAGCCTGCAAATCCTGGTATAGACTCTGCCCGGATTATCATGAATTGTCGTTTTCTGCGGAAACCGCAGTGCAAAGTACTGGATAAACTATTGTTACTAGATTCTAGTGTTAAAGCCGACAAGCGCTTTTTGTCCCACAAAATGTACAATAAACTTATTGCCATTTATATTTTTTGTTGCACAGTTAGTGAAAACTAATGGGATTGATATGGCTGAATCTGATACCAGAGCACTGCAATCATCATCAACAAAAGACAGCCGCACGGTTATCTGAGCAGTTGTAATGATCCTGCAGGATCGAAAGTGAAAACTTATTCTTCGTATACTAGTAACTCGTACAAGCTTCTTAGCCACGCAAAAACAGAA